TGCCACGCCGGATCACCCCATGTATACATACATCGGAGCTCAAACGACGGGGTCAATGCAATCGGGGGTCAGCCAGGGCTCCGGATCCTGCAGGATCCTGCAAAGACCTTTTGTGGCTGACCCGGGTTAGCGAGCCGTTCGTGGCCGCGAGGCGGTCGCGCATATTGGCTGACCCGGGTTTGCGAAGACTTGCGTTGCAGTTTTTGTGTTTGCATTGCAGTTTTTTGGTTTCCTGCTGACCCGGGTCTGGATTGACCCGGGTCAGAAGATCCCCGAATACACGTAAATTTGATGAGCGTATAATGAGACTCCCCGTGCACGAGGCCAGTGCGCCCGGTGCCCTGTGCCCGAGCGCTCATGGGAGGACCAGGATTTCCCAGACCGCTCCCAGAGCACCTCGAAACGGCCCTGGAGCTCCCATGCTGCCCCAAAAAGCTCCCAGAACCCCTCGGGGACTTCGACAAGCTCCTCCAAGACAGCCTAGATAGCCCCAAGGTGGCCCCATATGGGTTCGAGACCGCAAATACACAGCCCAAGAGGCCTCCAAGAGACCTCAAGAGAGCTCCAAGAAGTATCCCGAAAGAGCCCGAAGAGGCCACAATCATGTATTTTCATTTGCTTTTTCTAATGTTTGTCGCTTTCTCGCGTTTTTGACCTTCGACGCTCCAAGGCTGCCGACGACGCTCCCAATACCGCCCCAAAACCGCCGAAGAGGCTCCCAAAAGAGCCCCGAGACGGCACCAGGGAGTTTGAGAATTGCCCAGGAGGAGCCCCATACGGCCCAAGAGAGCCCCAGGACAGGCCCAAGCTGAGCCACACAGCGCGAGCGGGAGGCGCCAAGGCGTTCCAAGATGGCCCAGATGACACCAACGTGGCCTCAGATGGGTCCAACACGGCAAATACACAGCCCAAGAGGCCTCCAAGAGGCATCAAGAGAGCTCCGAGAAGCATTCCGAGAGAGCCCGAAGAGGCCCACATTATCGATTTCCAGATGTTTGTTCAAATGTTTGTCGCTTTCTCGCGTTCTCGAGCTTCCAACGCTCGAAGACGGCCAAAAACGCCCCGAATATCGCCCCAAGACCGCCAATGAGGCCCCCAAAAGAGCCCCAAGACGGCCCAGGAGAGCCCGAAGACTGCCCAAGAGCAGCCCAAGATTGCCCAGGAGAGCCCCAGGACAGGCCCAGGCTGGGCTACGGAGCGGGAGCGGGAGGCCCCAAGGCGCTCCAAGACGGCCTTGATGGCCCCAAGGTGGCCCCAGATGGGCCCAACACGGCCAATACACAGTCCAAGAGGCCTCCAAGAGGCCCCCAACAGCTCTCCGAGAGGCGTCCCGAGAGAGCCCGAAGAGGCCCATATCCTTGAGCTCGGTCGTTCTCTTCAATGTTTTTTGCGTTCTCGGGCTTCCAATGCTCGAAGACGGCCGCAGACGTCCCCAAGACCGCCCCGAGACCGCCGAAGAGGCACCTAAAAGAGCCCCACGACGGCCCCAGGGAGCCCGATCATTGCCCGGGACGAGCCTCAGACGGCCCAAGAGAGCCCTAGGACAGGCCCAAGCTGGGCCACAGCGGGAGCGGGAGGCCCCAGGGCTCTCCAAGAAGGCCCAGATGGCCCGGGCCTCCCCCTTCCGACAAATACGTGGATAGATTAGCATGCATAACACTGCTGATGTTGCCGTCATGCCTGCTCTCTCCCGCTCCCCGTGCAGAGCGAGACGACATTTTGTCATCCAGCTGCAAACGTTCAGGCCCGCACTCGCGATTTGAGCACCTGCTGCTATGGCCATGGTGCGGCCCCAGTTTACAATATTCCTTGGGGAACGTTGCACTGCGATGGCGCTGAAAACAGCTGCGAAGGAAGTATACAAAAGCACAGATATAGCATAAATACAGAGGTCATGGAACACGTGACTCTCGGCGGGAGTTGGGGCAAGGGGGCAGGTCAGGGGAGGGGAAAGAAAGCAGACACAAAGAGGAAGAAGCGACAACGGCAGGGGCAAACATTGAGTGAACGCTTCCCCTGCGCCCTGGGCGCTGCCTTTACAGATCTCTGTAACATGCGGACGCGTGCCGGGCCCTAGCACGCAACCGTTTCACTGCAATGCCTCCCTCTGGAGACGTGTCACACAAATGTATCCGCACCATCCACAAGCAATAGGGGCAATCACGTTATGTGCACATGCTTCAAGTCAGAGGTCCACGTGTCAGCGAGGCACTGGTCCCGCTAAGCATTCCTCGTTTGAGTCATCTGTCTGTGTCGGGTTGGCCCAAAAATGGGGTCCAGCGATAAGGGGGTGGTGCAATAGATCCGGTACAATAGATTTGTGGGGTTGCAATACATTGGGGCGTGCAATCCATTCCGAGGCGCAAATGTATTGCTGGATTTTCGCGTGCAATACATTACTTGTATTGCAACACAATTATCCAGCGCAATACCTTTGCAATGCAGTTGCCCGCAATCTATCGCACCACCCCCTTTCAGCTGGACCCCCTTTTGGGTCACCCAAACTGTGGTGCACCAAGATCTCCATGAACACGCTGGCTTTTCATCGTCTGCGTACCCACCCAATCAGCGCAGTGATGCCGAAGCTGATGAGGTGGTGGGAGATTTCAGACTGAGGCGTGAAAGATGGGAGTGGAGAGTGTGGGAAGGGTCCAAACGAATCAGGCTGTAAACCGGGTTCTCCTCCTTCTCCCAAGTTGCTGGAGACATCAGCTTTTAATGCATTGGAGGCGCCAGCCGCGCCAAACCAGCCACACCCCCACCACCAATTGAGCATCTTGCGCGCTGCATAAGATGGTAGGATACCGTCGAGCCGGTCTCTGACGATGGCGGCGTTAGTCTCGATGTTATTCCGGGTGGCAACTGCCAGGATGAGAAATTACACGAAAACCTAGTCCACACTGAATAGGAGAGCTAATCTGACACACCCACAGATGCTAACACTCCCGGCCACGTGGCGTTGGATTGCGCTTGCCGTAGCGCTGGTATCCACTTTCACTGCGATGCTTCATGGGTGCGGTTGGAGCTCGTTCGGCGACATCTCCCCCCTGGCCTGCAGGTGTGAGAAAAGGTAATTGCCAATCGCCACCTTGTCGGCAAGCATCGCCTGCTTGTCAATATCGTCTCCTCCCGGCAGCTTCGTGATCTTCTCTCCCCACTGGGCCACTGACTTACACCCTCCAGCACGCAACCACCTCTCGGCGCAGCCGAAGCTCTTGCCCTGGACATCTGTCTTGAGCTGTTTCATATCTCAGCGGGCCGTGCTGATACCGAAGCAGCGGATGAAACGGTCGTGCGTCTCAACAGTGACGGTGGCGCAGAAGAACGGCGAGTCTTCCTCATCTGGCGTTTGTTGTTGGCGCCCCAAGCTTTGGGCAAGCATGGACCTCATGCCGCCGATGTCGTCCCGGGCGGTGCTGTCTACGGTGCTCTTGATGACGTGGATTTCTCTTTTTTGCGATGCCACCTCGGAGCCCATGGCTGTCAGGTCAGCCCGGAGTCGCTTGAACGCACTGCTGCTCTCAAGTTGTGCCTCGAACGATTGCGCTGCTTCCACTTGCCCGGTCACCTCCGAGAGCTTGTTGACCGAGTGCGTCACCCTGCTGTCTGGAATAGCTTTCCGTTTCTGGCCTTTCTGCAATACGGCCATCAGGGCACTGGCAAGCTCCACGGCAGGGCTGCTCGATGGAGGTTCTTGCGGCTGTGGTTGCGCGGCGATGGGCTGGCCCGATGCGGTATTGTTGTTCAGGGCCGCTCCAATGGCTGCCATCTGCCCTGAGGCCTTCACCTGCTCCATGCCCGACGAGACCGTGTCTGTCAGGCCTGCAATGCCACTGGCTCTGCCCGAGGAATGCGGATGTTGGTAGCGAGGCGCATGCACGCGCGGCTTGCCCTTGCCATTGCCCTGTCCTCCGGCAGTCCACTGACAGTGCATGCCCCGAGCACTCCCGACTTGATGAGCTCGAGAGTAGATGTGCACATGTTGTGAAACGAGGAGATGACGATGATGGGTTAGAGTCTCTTCCTTCCCTCCCGCCCCCTCCCCGTGCATCCATTCCATCCTCTCTCCACTTCCTCCCCTCACCCCTCAGCTTTCGTGCTCCTCCCTCTCCTGGGACGGCCCCGCCAGAGCGCCAGACAGGCCCCACCCGAGCGAGCGGGGCATCGCTATACCCTATCATTTCACAAGTTGCTTTCCCATCCCACCCCTCAAGGGCGGCCCCGGTAGAGCGAGGGCGTTCTGACTACGCCTTTCTTTGCGTCGATGGCATGGGCCCGAGAACGCTGGAAATCGTCGTTGTGACCACAGCGTGGCTTACAGCGGCACCCGTGGCTCATCTGCGACTAGAACCTAAGCGCGCGCCAAAAGAGAGTTCCGAGAAGCATCCCGAGAGAGCCCGAAGAGGCCCAAATCATTGGTGTCATTGTTTTTTCACTGTTTTTTGGTTTCTCGCGTTTTTGACCTTCCGACGCTCCAAGATGGCAAGTTGCACGTTGGCCCGTGGGGCCCTTGTAATAAGGTGGTTCTTGCGCGCTCAACAGCCACGGGGCGCGACTACGCGCATTAAGCTCACACGTGCACTTTCACCCACCAGGGAACAGGAAATCATATGATAATTCAAATAATAACACTGAAACTATCGCGAGCGCCCTGAAGTGCCAACAAACACCTTATCGTTCCGTTTTGCTCCTCCTATTTCTTCCTCATCGGCAATCATGTTACTCCATGTTCTTTTTGGCCCTCCCCTCCCACCCCGCCCCTCACAAACATCATTTTCAACTCACCTACGCTCCTGCGCCCTTCACGCTTCACGCTGGGTGCTTGCGCCAGCCCCACTGGCGCAGAAAGGAGCAGCAGCGGCCTGTGGCAAAAGAAAACAGTCGAGCTGTCTTCCACTTCCTCCTCCTGCCTCCTCGTTCCCTCCACCCCCTCATCTCCTTCTCTGTAACCACCTCCTCCTCCTCCGAGGCCGCACGGCCGCCGGCCGTCGCGGCCAGCTCTACATAAGATCGAGGATGGCGTTCATCCTCGAGGTGTCCTTTTTCATAAGCTCGAACAGCTTAGTGACGGCAACGTACCGCTCCTTCGCGACGTCACCCGCCGCCACTGTGCTCTTGCGGATCCCGTAGTTCAGCTGTTCGCCTTTCTCGCACATCTCCACAACGATCCAGCCAACTGGGACGTACAGTAGGCTCTTGGCCGTCTGCGTCGCTTTGACGATGGGGATTCCCGACGCGACAATCTCCTTCAAGCCGCTGTCGTCGAGGGTGGTGATCGCCTCGATGGTAGATGACGGGTCGGCTGGTGTCGCGATCTTCTTGAGGATATCAGGGCAAGTCTCACTGCTGAGGGCCTCGAAGAGCGCCTTGGTATCAATCAGGAGACTGTGAACCTTGCCAGCAGCGAGAAGCCTTTCCATGGCGACGCAGTTCGGCGTGAAGCCCGACCACATCATCGTCTCCTTGTACCCCAGCTTCCAAACAGAGTTCATGAACGCGGAGCCGCCGTCCACAGAGCTGATGTCGATCGTAGGCGGCTTCCACGTGTCGAAGAAAGCCTGAACCTCAGTCAAGCCGTTGCCCGCCGCCTTCCCTAGACCAACGAGTTGCTTCTGGCCTCTCTCTTCCACGGCGTTCCTGAAAGCCGTCGCCCACGAGGCCAGCTCCTTCTGAAGGCCACTGTTGCCGACGAGGAGCGTGATGTTGTCGGACTCCTGCACCAGGAAGGGCGAGTTCCATGTCTCAGAGTCGCAGTCAGGCACCTCGGCGATGATATCCACACGTTTCACATCAGCCCACGTAGCCTCGAAGATCGGCCTTCTCGTCTGAACTTCATCTTGAAGTGGTTGCTTGGCCTTGGCCCTGATCGCAGCTGCCGCCTGCGCCGCCTCCTCTCTGACTTTCTGGAGGGCCAACTGCTGGGCCTTCTTCTCCTGATCCTTCCTCTCGCGTTCAACTCGTTTCCTCTTCTGTGTCACATGAGATTCGATATACCCGCATGTAGTCTTGACAGATCCAATCAGCTCGGTGGCGATGGAGATGCACTGCTCCCATGTCTCCATGAAGTAGCCGAGCTCATCGGACGTGTTGACTTCCCAGATGCCCTCCTCCTGCATGGTCTGCATCTCGATGCGCGACTTGATGTTCGCCGGGTCGCCTCCGAACGGTTTCCTGGCCTTCTCCCTCTCGGCGAGATCCTTCAACGATATCTCCACCATCTCAGTGTCTGACAGGATCGCAGGCGAACATCCGCCAGGAGTCGAGGCAGCAGACGCGCATCCAGGCGATGTCGCAGCGGAATTGCCATCGTCCGCGCCGAGGTTGAACAGCTTGACGACCTTGTGCAGGCCCTTCCATTTGAGAGCGAGCTGCCAACGAGACTGGAGACTCCTGATGTATGACAACAGTGGCTTGTCGTCGTTCGTCTCCGTCACGGGGATGGCCTTCAATATGTTCATGATCTGCTCCACCTTGGCCTTGTTCGATGAGAACATGTTGTCGATCTTCACGAGGTCTGTCGTCATGGTGCCGTGGACCTTCGGGATGTCGCGCTCGATCACGTAGGACTTGATGGTTCGCCTCTTCTTCCCAGAACTTGATCCAGGATCTCGCGGTGAGTCTTTCTTGCCACCAGACGTTTGTTCGAGGACATCTTTTCTCTTCATCACCCTTTGCAGCTCCAACTTGTTCGTGAAGAACCCGTCAGCAGTCGAAGCAGTCGACTCCTGGACGAACTCCTTGATCGAGTCGGCCTCGCCCTCGGACATGTTCTTCTGCTCCGCGCCCTTCTCCACGAAGGCGTTCTCGATGCTCCTGCGGCTCCCCCGCTCGCGCTCAGGACCGACGGGAATCCAGAGCTGCTTTCGACCTTTGAAACCCTTGTTGTCCCTGTCCACCCTGGGGTTCGAGTCCAGCTCCTCCCACCACTCTGTCTCCTCACTCTCAGTGAGGCCCAGCACGGTCATACAGTGGCAATGGAAGGCTTGCCGGGTCATTGGTTTGTCGACGTCTCTGTCGGTGGTGAACGTGTCGGACTTGTGCGATTTCTGAAACTGGCTTGATTGAATGATGTTCTTCCTGGCGTACTTCTTATCAGAAGGGTTCGCCTTCGCAGCTCCGCAGGCAAGGGTTCGGATTGCGCCCAGGGCTCTCTGGGGTCGATTTTCGGTCGGTCGAAAAGCCGAAAACACCAACAGTTCAGTCCAGGACCAGTCCAGAGAACACGGTACACAACAGTACAGATTGCACACATTGGTGTGCTACCAAGTCCCTTGTGAGAGCCCTTGCGCAATCCGAATATTTGCCCCGACGCCTCAGCAAACGCGTTGATCTTCTCAGCCAGGGAGGTGTCGTCCTTCTTGGCCTCCTGCGGCGGGAGAGCAAGCAGAATCTAAACACTGCGCGTGGCCCTGGGCACCAGTCCACAAACGAAGCCATTTTCGAACATTCAAACATTCGGCCCAGGTCCCGACGGCGGCCAACGTAGGAACGATACGTTTCAACTCCGCTCGCTCCTCCCACTCTGCCTTGGACTCATCTGTCGCCGTCTTGGCTCTCGCCATCTTCCACTCCAGCGTGTCGTAGTAACGCTTGTGGATATCGCAGAACTTGTAGCGCTCCCCCAGGCGATCCAGCGGGCAACAGATGCACGCCTTCACCGTGTCCGAGGTGGAAGAAGCAGCTGCTTTCCGTCCGCCGCGGCCGCGGCCGCGGCCGCGGCCGCGGCCGCGTCCTAGTTGAACTTCCTGACCCGCACCAGCGTGCTGCGACTCTGACAGCGATGGCTGCTCTGATGCATCCCCGCCAAACGTCACCTCCTCTTCGTCCATGGTGTCTGCGCCAGCCGGGAAGCAGCAGCGTTCGGGTCGGGCGCGCAGAGGGAAGTGCCGAAAACAGTACTTGAGCCAAAACGGCTACGCCACAGTGACCATTGATATGACCATATGACCCCCTGCAGACACTGTAAAACAGACAGCCACTGAGCACTGAGAGTGGTCCTAATTGACGAGAGTCTTGGAGAGAAGCCTCAGAATCCCTGGACATTCCTCTCCCCCCTCTTCCCCATTCTGCGACAGAACGCCCATTCAGACTCTGGCTCTGGCTAGCGCCGCCGTTGCTCATCGAGGCTCATCCGAGGCTCATCCCCTGCCCTCGTCAGGCTCTAGCTGCGTGGGCCCTGGGTGACTTAGGCGGGGACCTGGAACCAGGAGGGGGTCTCAGAGGAGTCAAGACATAATCACAAGTCTGAGCTTTCGATGGGGCCACGGGCGAATGTTGTCTCAACCGATATTGTTTTGCAGATTGCGGGAGGCCCACCAAAGCTCTGGAGCCTCGTGAGCCACGCGTGGCTCAAAGTTTACAGATTGCGAGTGCACTGCCCCTCGCGATCACTGCATGGTCGACGGTCATCGTCGCGTGAGAGTGCTGCACTGCTGCTCGTGGAGCTCAGTCCGCCTCGAGGGTGCTGTTCGGCGAAGCCACTGGAGACTCCACGAGGCAGAACTCATCCGCGGATCGCTGGGAAGAGAAGTCTTTCCACTTGGATTCGTCCTTCACCTTCCAGCCGTAGGGGACCCAGCTCTCTGGGTTGTTCGGGTCCCATGGGATGGTCGGCTCAAGCCCGTGCTGTGGCTTGGTCGCCGCTGTCGTATAGTCGATCCAGCCCTTATTGTCCTTGATCTGCCAGCCGTACGGGACCCACGTCTTCTCGTCATCTTTGTCCCACCAGTGAAGCGCAGGCGGTGGTGGTGACTTACGCTTAGTGAAGTCATGCTCGTCCTCCTGCGGCAGCGAGAAGTCACGCTCCATGCCGAAGGGCCCGACGATCGAGGGGTTGCCGTCGTCCATGAGTGCGGTGGCGTACATCAGGTGCGTGATCACCTTGCCGATCTCCTCGAGCTGGCATTTCATCGCCATCACGTTGGTGCTCTGCGCCAGCTGATGATCCGTCCTGGCACAAGCCTGGGCCTCGCAACGAACAATGGACATCTTGAGCGCGGCCTGGAGCTTCCTCAACTGCGCGAGCCCGTCCTCAACTCGATCCGATACGTCGTAGAACACGTCCGTGGTGGCCCGCAGAATTTTCTGCGATGTCTGGAGGCGGAATTGGTCAGTTCCGACCTGCTGCTTGTACGTCTGATCGTACCCACGGTCCATGCTGCTAGCTGTTGGCACTGCAGATGTCGGTTCGATACTCGTGGGCTCGTGGGGTCGAACTGCAAAGCGAGTTTGAGCCCAAATGTTTGCACCTGGATTGGTCGCGAGTGCTGTCGTGACGACAAGTGAAGTCACCACGGAGAGAAATCTCAAGCTGCGAGCTGCGGCTCTGTGAGTTTAGTTGCAGGGGGAGAGGGGAGGAGGAAGGGGGGATTCCTGGGACGACGAGCCGCAGGAGGCAGGATCTCTGTACTCCCCGTCCCTGAAGGTCGATCTATCTGGCAGCTGGCAGCACCGGGGAATCGCATCGCAGGTCTGATCGAGCTCTGAACTTCGAACAAGTGTGTGGGTTTCGAGGGCCATTATGTTTTGTATTTTTTCTCTGGCGCTAAACGTCATCTCGATCCTCTTCGCTAGCAATGTCTGATGACCGCTGAGCTGCGGGCACTGCGGTCTGGGCCTCCTCGGGTGTCGAGGCGGCGGCTGCGGCTAGCGCGTTCTCTTCGAAGAGTTTGGCGCCCTCGATCCTCACCACGTTGCTGAAGCAATAAACCACCCATGCAGCTAGCGCAGAGATGCACATCCCATTGCCTGACAACTGTTTGATGCACGCCTCATCCAGGTTCTCGAAGAATGGCTGCATGCGGCTGCGGTAACGAGATTGCATCCCACCAAGAACATGGAGCCCCTGGGCTGCAAGATGTTCCAGACCAATCGCAGCACGTTGCAACTCCCATGACCAGACGCAGCCATGCTTGAGCTGGCATGGGAACTCCCTGCCGTGAGAAGACCGCGTGTTCGGCCAGTGGTCCAGGTCCGCAAGGAATTGATTGTCTGAGTCACCAGGCTTGATCGCATCATAAGCCGCATACCGCTGTCGGTTACCAGGACACAGTGACTCGAATACTTCATCACCGCTGATAGGAACTGCGTTCAGGTCGTCAATGTGAATGTGTCGCATCGCCAAGTTCTTCGCTGTGACCTTCTTCAAGTAGTCAAGGTTGGCGCCCATGTACATCGAGCCGCTGCCGACGACTCTGGCCCCGAAAATGCTCTCGAACTCCTTCTGAACCTCCTCGTGGCTCTCTGGACCGATCCACTTCAACCGCTGGCGACAGCACCCAAATGAGAATACCCTTGGACGGTGGTGCGGCTCACCTTGTTGAAGAGGCCCCCATTGTACCCAACTGACTTTGATCCACTCCTGCATCGGACTGGCGAGCTTTTCCTGGACTGGATACCGATGGGAACACTCCTGGAAGAAGCAGTCCTCCTCGCCAAGCTCTGCGAATCTGACCTTCTGGGCAATCCACACGTTGTTAACACGTTCCGATGGGTGGGAGAACTCCTTCAAAGTACTTTCAGAAACAGGGCTCCAACCCACGCACGTGTTGCCTGCCCAGTTCACCCGTAATTTCCGTTGGTCGTTGTCGGCCTCCATCGGCGGGTTCGTTGGGCAGGGTCGGCGATGGTACAGGCAACTTGTCGTAGATCCTTTCGGCCAGAGCCAGCCCCTGTTCGACAGCAGCCAACTGAGCATGTCCTTGTAGCACTTCGCGGCGCACAGCCTCGCGTCCGCCACGTCCGAGCCTTTGTCGATGGTGGGCATCATCATGTCTAAGTATGCCCTGGCCACGGCTGGCAACGTGTCCTCGATGTCGCCAAATACGCAGGAGATCCCTCCATGAAGATGGGCAGCGGTCCACAGCAGTGCCCTTTGAGGTAGCTTACCATTGTCGCACGACCTCTTGAACTCGAAAGTCAGGTGATGGATCGAAGGCTCGTCTGGGAAGGCGTAACGCAACCCTGCAAATAGTTGCTCACACAGCTCCCGCGGCATCTCGCATCCAGAATAGTCGCCAGTGTTGATGGCGCCATGTCCAAGCAGCGCGCGCAGATGGTCAGCAAAAGCGGCACCTCCGCGCAGGTCTGCCATGAGCATCCAGGGACGTTCAGGCCAGCGAGCAAACTCCTCAATGGTCGCTGGGCCAGGGCGTCCTACCTTGAACCTGCGAGTGTGGTAGAACGGCTGCTTGGCACACGAGGCGAAGTCGTCGTCGCATATCGATGCGCTGGCGTTGGCCCTTCTCTTCTGTGGTCTCCCTGACATCGCGGGATCATCGCCTCAGCACCGCAGCGAAGGTCCAATGGGCACGAAGCGCGGCAGGGTGGCCTTAGGCCGTAGGCCGCCGCTCGAGCCCAACTAGCAATGGAGGAGTACTGAGTGGGGGACGGCACAGGCGGAGGCCTCGGAGTAGGAGGACGGGGGCTTTGGGGCCTGGGGATGGCGGAGTTAACAAGGTCACATCAATACAAGCCCTTCAACTCCCGCAGCGAAACACGCTTTGCTGTGGGTTGGTGTGACAGTTTCCAAGGACCACCTCCTCCATTTTCTCTCTCCTCCTCCTCCACGTCGTCTTCCTCGTCCCTTCTTACCATATCCAGTGCCCTGCCTCATCCCGTCATCTCCCTCCTCCACGCTACCGCCCCCCACATCGTCGTCTCCTGCCACATCGTCATCGCTTCAGCGCCGAACCCCTCCAGTGTTCCCAAAGTCCCCGAGTTCTGCGGTACGCCCAACACAGGCCGTGTCAGCTGCGATGTGTCTGGTAGCATTGCATATTGTCGTGTTTTTGTCAGAAATAAGGGTTTTTGCCATTTTGAGCAATTCCCCGAGTTTCCCCGAGTTTCCCCGAGTTTCCCCGAGTTTCCCCGAGTTGTAAACTCGGGGGGAAACGTTGCCCGGGAGATTTTGGCGTTTTGGGTTAGGTTTTCAATCAGATCTGATAAAAACGTCTTCATTTAGAAGCCCTAAACGTGCTCAGTTAGAGCTCATTTCCGATGGATTTGGAGGCCCTGGAGGGCCCCAAATGGCATTTCCAGCCGGGAAACGTTATACCCCCGAGTCCCCGAGTTTCCCCCGAGTCCCCCGAGTTGGGGGGGTCGCCATTTTTAGGAATTCTATCACTTTAGCTGTTTTCCACGGTGTGCAGCTATTCCGACATAGTTTCGCTGTTTTGCTGCATATCACACACTAACTGCGCATGACAGCGCATGGCCTGCCCTTGCCCCTTCGTTTCAGATCTCGCAGGGCGTGCGAGGGCGTCTGACGGGTCTGACGTCGTGAAGGGGAGAAGAGAGCAGCGGCGGCCGTCGACGGCCAGCTGCTCTCAGTTGAGCACCAGCTGGTTGATCAGCTGGCCGAGGTCCTGGCGGGGGCGCCCTCTCTCCCCACCCCCAGGACGGCCGAGGGGTTGAAGGCCCAAGAGGACTGGAGAGGCCCGAAAAAAACTACAAGAGGTTCCCAACCATGATGGCTCCAATCTGGCTCCAACTGGTGGTACCAGGATCCGTTGGGATCCGTAGGGGGGTCGTCTAGGCTTCTATAGGTTGGGCATTATTGGGCATTAGGCCCTAGCCCTGAATCCCACTCGCCCTCACTCGCACTTTCGCGACCTTGCAAACGAATGCAATCCTCGCTCTCATCCCTCACACGTCATCCTCCTCCTCGCAACTGTCGCTAGCTAGCGGTCGTTCCCTCGTCACCTCCCTCACCCTCCTCCCTGGTCTCCCTCATCCTCTTGGCGGGCCGCGCTGTCCTCCAGCAGCCCTGGCGGACTCCGGGCTCCAGTCAGCGGTGGGAGCGAGAGCTTGGCCACCTGGGAGCGGTTGG